GCCTCAGTCTTCACCGATGTAGTCTCCCAGGCCTCTGATTAAAGTTTTCAGAGGAGAACTGCCAGCAGTGGATAAGGATCAAGTCAGGGTTTCCTTAACAGAACTGGACCCATATAGGTCCATAGAACCAAATGGGCTGCATCCAAGAGAACTAATAGAACAGGCTGATGTCCTCATAAGGCCACTCTATGCCATCTTTGAAAAGTCATGGTGATTTGGGGAGATCCCTGAAAAATGCAGAAAAGCAAATATTTGCAAAAAAGACCAAAAGGACAGTGTGAGGAACCACAGGTTCATCAGCCTCACTTTGTTCCATGAGAAAATAATGCAAAAAGTCCTCTTGAGAAAACATTTCTGGGCATGTGAAGTATTAGGTAGTGTCTGGTAACTGCAAGCATGGATTTATTGAGTGTAAATTATGCCTGACCAATCTGTTTGTCTCCTGTATTAAAGTGACTGGCTTTGAAGACCAGAGGAGAACGGTTGATGCTATTTACCTTGATTGCAGCAAGGCTTTCAACACTGTCAGAAAATACTCTCAATATACAAGTTTGGATGTTACAGTCTGGATCGATGGACAAGTACTAGACAAGTTAAAAACTGGTTGGATGATCAGGCTTAGAAGGTAGTAAACATGTTGTATTGTATCTGGAGGCTAGTAACAAATGGAACACCACAGAGGCCTCTCCTGGAACCTGTTTGTTTGGGTTTTTTTTAAATATCTTTGGCCACGACTTGGTGGTAAAAAAACATGCTCATCAAGTTTGGAGATGACACTAAACTGAATAGAACAGTCAATATGCTTGAGGGCAGAGCTGCCATGCAGAAATGCCTAAACAGACGGGAGGAATGGGCTGACAGGAACAATATGAAATTCAACAGGACATGCAAAGTCTTGGAAAGGGATAATCTCTTGCAATGATACAGGCTTGGGAGCCTGGGAAGTCTTGGTGAATATTCAGAAAGCTAATTGTGAGCCAGGAGTGTGCCTTGGCAGCAAAGGAGGCCAACAGTATCCTTGACTGCATCAACAGTAGTGTAGCCAGTAGTCTGAGGAACGTGATTATCCCACTCTAATCAGCACTCTTTGGACCAAATTTAGAATACTGCATCCAGTCTTGGGCCCCCCAGTCCAGGAAAGACACTGATAAACTGGAGCAAGTTCAGCAGAGGGATGTCAAGATGGTCAGGGAGACAAGCCCTGTGAGAAACACCTACAGGAACAGGTTGTTCAGTCTGGAGAAGAGAAGGCTTCAGGAGGATCTACTACTAGCTGTCCTACAAGGTTACCTACAAGAAGGTAACCAAGAAGACGGAGTCAGGCTCCTCATGTTGTCAGTTAGTGGAAGGGAAACAACAGGCATAAATTGAATCAAGAGAGGTCACAACTTGATATAAGGAAAGAAACTTTTCATCATGAGGACACTCAAGCAGTGGAACAGGTTGCCAAGAGGGAGATTGAAAACCTCCAAGGATGGAGACTGCATAAAGCTTGACTAGATAATGCCCTCATTAACCTAGGCTGACCACATAATTGACTCTGCTTT